TCAGCCACTCCAGAGGCTACCAGCAATAGCTGCTCCAGCTGCCCACAGCTTGCTCTGACTCTCTGCTTAAAGGCATCCCCAGCTACAGAAGCTTTAGATGAAAACAAGCCAGAGTGGCAGGGAGTTAACGCACCAGGAAAATCCCTCCACCAATGAAGGAGGGGAGTTCGTGCACAAAGCCCCAGCTTTCTTGCCTGGAAGTGGGATGATTCTGAGGTGTACTCTACACAGTGTCTCAGAGGGCTCCGAGTGGGAGCAAGCCTCGGTTGCCCAGCGGTCTCCCTGCATGAATGCACCATTTTTTGCCTTTCCTCCCTTCCTGGACTCATGTGCCCACTCTCTCACGGCATTTCCTGGGATTGCCTCCCAAAGAAACTATCCACTCAAGTCCTTGTCTCAGGGTCTGCTTTGGGAACACCATGTCCCCAGAACTGTCCCAGGTGGGCTTAGCTTCCTCGCCTCCCGGCCAGTAGCATCCAGCACTGCCTGCTTGAGCTTCCCTCCACTTCCCAGCACAGCTCCAGGGTGGAGCCCAGTTACACACACAGGCCCTGCAAGTCTTGCTACATGCTGGAACTAATTCTAATCTCCCCCTTGGAATAAAGGAAATCATAATTAATTCTGCAACCCCTCTCTGAGTTTGCTCGTCCCTGGATTATACGACCCACCACAGCATCCCCAAAGTCACCAGGGCCCACTCACTCAGGAGCCTTGGAACCAGAGCCATTCTGTGCCCTGGTCCCCTGGGATTGGCCTCAGCCTGGAAGAGCCAAGCATTAGGGAGTCCATTCCAGGTATGGAGGGGCCCAGGGAAGAGAGGCTGGAGAAGGTCCCCCAGGTGCAGCTGCCTCCTGCTGATATTAAATGGATGTGAGAAATTCACAGGTTGGTTTCCCTGGGAAGCAGACTCTGAGATCAAGATCTGTGTGCAGAAAGTTTACTGGGGACTGTTCTCAGAATTGACATCTGTTGGGGAAGGAGGTATAAATTACACAGGACTGGGTAGAAGAAGTGAATTGTGTTATAGTTGAAGCAAAGGCCGTGTTTGGTCTCATAAGGAGATATCGGATGGCCTGCAGAGCTGCCCAAGGTGAAGCAAGAAGCCCAGAACTTTGCAACCCACATGGACTAGACATTGGATGTGAGCTGCCCCAGACATGCCTGAATAAGTGTAAGGAGACTCAATTCAGCCAAAAGCAAGTCCAAGAGAGCAGGTGCTTCAGTCCTGGAGCAGAACTCTATAAGGCAACCACAGCATCCGTCACATCAAGGTTATGAGTTTTCAGGGGGAGAAATGAACAGAAACTCCTCTGCCGCCTGGAGCAGATGAGGAATACAGAGCAACTGCCCCATGATAACTCGAGAAGAGTTGGAGCTGAGCCCTAAGGAAAGAACGCAAGTCACTTGACACTCACTCCTGGAGCTTCTGCACTGGAGGCGTCTCCCCTGGAAGGACGAACCAGGGCTCTTAAGCCATCTCCAGACTCACCATCAACTCCCAAACAACCTACAGGTGAGAGGGTTGCATGAGATGCCCCAGGTCCCACAGTACCAGCCACTAGTTTCAAACAACCTTTAGCTTTCATGAAGCAGGACTGGGAGGGAGTCAATGGAGGCTCTGGATAAACACCTCTGTTACAGAAAGTCTGTTTGGAATCCCTCATCCACAGGGAGATCTGGCCCTGCAGGAGCAGAAGCAGAGCAGAGGCTGGGAACTAAAGAGATGGTGCCTCTCTATGCACTGGGGTCCATACTGGCAGATGGCATTTTTGGTAAGCCAAGTGACAATGGGCAAGGCAGATCACTTCTCTGAGCCTCAGTCTCCCCATCTGTAAAGTGAGGCTGAGAATCATACTTCCTGGCGCCATTGTTTTAAGGTGGAAATGAAATACTTACAGGAGTTCACTCCAAGAGCTATAAAGTGCTACACAATTGCTAAAGTTTAGAAAGCAGCTTCAGTGTTGTTACTGTTCTATTACGTCCAGATAGTAACATTTTAGTAATTAAAAAACAAAACCATGTGGGAAACCATGAGGGAAAAGAGGAAACTTGCACAGCTCTTTGTGAGAAGGTAAATTAATTCAAAATAAAGTTGGCAATATCTGGTCAAGTTGCAATTTTTCTATGTCTAAGAGGAATTCTCCCATATGTGCACAAGGAAATGCATATAGGATGGCAAATTCAACATGTTTGTAAAAATAAAGAATTAGTGGAAAACAACCTTAATGCCCATCAGGAAGGACACTAAGGAAGTTAAGTGGATAGATTCAAGCAACACTGAGGAAGTGAACCAATGGGGATGGGCTGGATGCAAGGTGGGGGACAGAGGTATCAGAGCTGGGGGACCGGAGGTATCAAGGATGATGCCTGTGTTTTGAACTTGCTCAGCAGAACCATTCCATGAGATAGAGAGCAATGGAGAAGGGCCAGGTTTGGGGGTGATGATTGCACCTTCTACCCTAGAGGAACTTCTGATGCTTACACATGGATGCGTCACGTATCTCATATGGCCAGTTGGAAACATGGTCTGAGCTTAAAGGAGAAGCCTGGGCTTGACACATAAATGGGGAGAAGGAGGAAGAGGATCATCTGCAAATAGATAGTGAGTGTAGGTGCAAGTGCCAAGGGAGAGTAGAGGGTAAAATAAGAGGATCTAGGACTGGTCTTGAAGGAACTGCATGTAAATTTTTTAATAGCTTTATTGATGTATAATTGACACACAATAAACTTTTAATGAACAATTAAAAGTGTACAATTTGATAAGTTTTGACATATATACACCCATGGATCCATTATTACTTTCAAGATAATGAATATATCCATCACCTCCGAAGTTACCTGGTGTTCCTTTGTAATCCCTCGCTCCCTCCCTCCTCTCCCCAGGCAACCCCTGATCTGCTTTCCGTCGCTATAGATTATTTTACATTTTCTAGAATTATATAAAAATGGAATCATATAGAATGTAATCTTTTTTGGTCTGTCTTCTTTCATTCAGTCTAATTATTTTTAGTTTCATCCATGTTGTTACATGTATCAAGAGTTCATTCCTTTTTATTGCTGAATAGTATTCACTGTGTGGATGTACCACAATTTGTTTATACATTCACCAATTTATAGACATTCAGATTGTTTACACTTTTGGGCTACAAGTAAAGCACCTATGAATATTTGTGTATAAGTCTTTGTGTGGACATATATTTCAATTTCTCTTGTAAATACCTAGGAGTGATATGGCTGGATCATATGGTAGGTATACGTTTAACTTTGAAAGGAACTGCCAAATTGTACTCCAAAGGGGGAGTACCATTTTGCATCCCCACCAGCAATGCACAAGAGTTCCAGTTGCTCCAAATCCTTGCCAATACTTGGTTATGGTCAGTCTTTTCATTGCAGCCATTAAATTTTATCCATTCTCATAAGCAGATATTCTTATTTCATTGTGGTTTTAATTTGCATTTCCCTAGTGACTAATGATGGAACTACAACTTTTAGCAACTGGAAGAAGACTGAACCTGTACAGGAGACCCAAAGGAGTAGACAGAGATACAGGAGGAAAACCAGAAAAATGTGGCATCCCAGTCAACAGGAGAAATGACTCAAAGAGAGAGTGAGTGGTCAGTAGAATCAGACGATGCTAATACGAGGACTGAAAATTCTCTTTTGGATTTAGTGCCTTTGGTGACTTTATCAAAAGATATTCCAACAGCAATTGATTCCAGCCTCCAGCCTCTTTCCGCATTTTCAGAATGAGTCTCGTTGTACTGCCCGCTGGGCAGCACCCTCTCCTCGGGTGTCTGGGTCCCAGCTCCACAGAGCCCATCCTGGGAGCCCCTGAGGTGAAAGCACCAGCTGGTACCTCTTTGCAGCAGTTCCAAGTTTCTGGGGGTGTCACAGTCTCTGTTCGCTGGGAAGCCAACTCTGAGACTGAGATTAGCATACAAAAGGTTTATTGGGGAGTGGACCCAGGATCATCACCTCTAGAAGAGAAGAGAAAGAAGCAGGACTGGGTGAGGGAGAAGTTGGGCTGCGATGCAGTCTCAACCCAGGGCTCAGCCAACCCTCAAAAGGAGCCCTGAAGCTGGGACGGCCCTTCAGCATTGTCCTCACTGGGGGCAAAGGGACCAAGCCTTCGTACTCTACATGAACCAATTATTGGATGCAGCCTACCCCAGGAGGGAGGTGTGATCCTGGGTGAGGTGACTCGTCCCAGTTAAGTGCGATTCCCATAGATGGTGACTACTGAGGGCTGTCAGCCAGTAGCATCCCGGGAGCTTATTCCCGTCGGTCTTGAAGGGGAATCTGGGTGGCACACTTAGCGTCCACTGCAAGACATTTCTCCTCCAAGCTTCTGGGTTCTAATCACCCCAACCTCTCCCCTTGGCTCTCCACCTAGAATGGGAAGCCACTTCCTGCGGTTACTCTCTCTCAATTCCTTCAGAGCCTCCTTTGTGCTTTTGCTTTCTCCAACATCTGTTTCAGCAGTTCCTTATACCAAACTCTCTCGTGCTGTTCCTGTTTTCCTGACTGATACTCCCCTCTACCCAGATGCCCCCAACACTGTTAGGGAAGGGAGGGGGGTGGTGAGAAACCCACACTGTTGACTCTGTGTCCTATTGACCAGGTTACATATAACCCAGAAAGGTCAATTTGGGAACTATCAGGATTATGTTTTGCTTTCAGCTCAGGCATACTCCCAGAGTCATCTGCAAAAATCAATGTTTCAGTACAGAAATCTGGAATGAGGTCATCAGTGAACAGGCATCATGAGCCCTCCGCGTGTCTGCCCTGCAGGTGGGAACAGGCCTGAACTCTCGGAGCTCCTTAGAGCCTGAGTGTAATCCACTTACTGCATTTCTGACATTTTAACACACTAAATGGCTCCCTCGTGATCTGAAAATGCTCACACAGTCACAGCCAGAGTGCCTGACTAGATGTAGAAGTGACTAAGACTCAGGGATAATCGGTTGAAAAGCAATATAAATGGGGCAAGAATGAATCGATGATTTTTTTCTTTCCATTTTTCAGACTGCACCAAATCTGATATTCAGTAAGACTAAAATGCTAGAGATCAAGACCAGCACATCCTAAATAAACAGATCTTGCCAGCTAATAAAGTGTCCTTCACAACATTTACATGTAGTCATGTTGGCTTCAGGAGGCACGTCTGAACCATAATTCCCTGGCTTCATCAGCAGCATTAAGAAGTAATCAGAATACGACCCACTTCAGTCATTCAGAGCACATTTTATTAACATAGAAAGACCACCATTTGCCTTATTAATCTCACAGGGGGAGTTTAGACCCTGGGAAGCACCACTCATGTCGTATACCATGAACTTGATTACAAGGAGGAAGCAAAACACACTATTATTACTAAAAATTCCTTGCTAATAACAAGTCTCTCCCCCCCAAAAAAAATGTATTAAAGGCTTCAAATATACAAATCTAAAAATATGTTACAACATTTAACATCAAGACTCAAGTTTATTTTTTCAAATATGCTTTAAAATATACTGAGTGTCTCTCCTTCCCCTGATTTTCCAATTATGTGAAGAAGCCCTTTTCATTGTTTTTCTCCTAGACTTCTCTCCTGTTCTCTGTCCTTGAGCAGAACAGGGTCGGGGCGGGGGGTTGCTGAACAGGTGCCCAAGGCGGTGACTACGATGGCTGCTCTGCAGCCCGCTTGTGCTGGCTCCGGAAGTGGCCCTCGCTGCTAGGGGACACCTCCTTTTGTAGGTTTGCTGTGTAGGTCTTTCCAACAGCTTCAATCCAGGGGTGCTGAAGAACCTGGTGGGCCGTGTAGCGCTTTTTGGGGTCTACCACCAGCAATCGGCTCACCAGATCTTTGGCAGCTGTTGGAATGAGAGAAGGAGGGGCAAATGAGATGAATGCAGGTGGTTCTGGATGTTTCTTCCCCAGGCATGAAATAAGAACACAAACATCCGTGTCAGCACCGTGGCTACACTAGAGCAGTGCTGTCCAACAGAGCTTTCTGCGATGATGGAAACCTCCCGTATCTGCACTATCATATTGGGACTACTGAGCATTTGAAATACGGCTAGTGCAACTAAGGCACTGAATTCTTATCATATTTACTTTCAATTAATTTACATTTAAATTTAAATAGCCAAGGGCAGCTAGCAGCTGCTGCGTTGGACAGTGCAGCTGCAGAGGATGTTTCTTCATTTCTCCAGTCGTGGGGCCAGGCCCACCACTAGCACCCACGGCACCCAGCGCAAGAGAACAAATCGAGGCCACATACCAAACGTCTATATATTTTAAATTTGTAAATCAAACTATCAAGTTGTTAAATAAAATATATTGAATCTTCCTTTCTAAGTTGATAAATATGCCTCCATATCGACAAAACTGAAAAACATATGAAAGAAACCTAAGTAGTAAATAGCGCAAATACAAAATGAATTTCATTTTCTGTCCAAGACCATGACTAATTCTAGAGAGAGATGGTGACAACTGGTGGGCCAGGTGGCAGGCGGAGAGGAGAAAACATTTCTCCATGGCTTGCTGGCTCTCCCAGGCCGGCGCTCTGAGCCTCCTCTTCCAATCACTCGAGAATGCACAGGAAAAGAAACACCCACTTTTCTTGCCTTTATTGGGGAATGGATGACTCTTGCTCAAGATCAGCTCCTCACCCACCAATCACCCCCTCCTCTACACCACTGTCCAGCCACCACTTGAGCATGGAAGCCACAGGATTTCTCCTACCCCACCCAGTTCAAGCAGGGCACATTCTGCCCACAAAGTGCCCCGGTGCCCACACCCACCAGCATCACTCCCTCAAGCTCCTCAAAGGACTCGGGGGGCAGAAGGCCAGGTTTAACCTGGGAATTCTCAGACCCACATGTACATGTGTGGAGGAGTGAACACCCCACGAACATGTCCACGCTCTCTCTACCTGCCCCCCAGACAGTCGCTCCTCGGCCACCCTATGGCAACTGTGGGGAGAGGCTGGGAAGAGGTCTCACCAGTCTTGGGAGTGGGCCTGGGTCATTTGGGCAGGGAATACTGGGGTCCCAATTAAGTGGTCTAGAAGAGGAGACTGGGGCTTGAGGCAGGGCACATTTCCTTGGCCCCACAGTCTCCTCACTCTGCGGGGAGGGGTATAACAGAGCAGGACCCCCTAAGGCATGGGGCCCAAGGCAGGGGCACCCATGCCCAAATCTAAGATCAGTGCTGCACAGAACTTTCTAAAAGGATTTTTGTCCTTCATTTCCCAAGTTGCCACTGCCTTCATCAGCTCAAGACCCTCACTCTACCTGCAGCAAGCCACCCCTCTCTGTACCTTATTTAGGGCGAAAAAATGATGCTTTTCCCTTCCCTCATCCCCCAACCACAAGTGAGGAGACGGAGTCTAGGGATGAGGGCAGTTCAATAACTAATCTTAGACGACATGTTTAGGGGAAACTGGAGACAAAATACTTACCACTCCTATTCTACTTTTTAAGCCTAGACTCAAAACCCCCAGTTATCCAGTTCACAATTTACCAGGGCAGTGGATAGTACAGACAAATCAGTAGAAACAAGGGGGAAGAATCCATTTGAAAGGACCAAAAAGGAGGAGGTTCACAAATGCTTCTGCTCCTCTAAAAATAACCAAGAGCCTCCCCCCTCACTTTCCAGAGCCCCTGTGCTCCAGGTGTGCCCTCACAGGACCCCTGATTACTCATGAGTAAAAGACACACGTCCAATCTGTTCATAAACACTTCTCTATATGAGACGGCTTTGATCTTTCCAAATGAGGGTTATACGTTTCTGACATTTTTCAGTTTTGAGGTTCTCTAATTGCCTTAAGGAAAAGTGTTTGGTGACTGCAACTGGTGGTTAGACTTTTTCGTTAAATCTCAAAGCAAGTCACATTTTCAGAGTGCTACATAAAATCAACACAAAGCCAGCAGGAAATACAGGATGAGGCACGACATGTCGACAGTCCACTTCCGTGCCAGGTTCTGTGATGGGCCCTCTGCGTGTCTTCTTACACATCTGACCTAAAATCTGCTTTGCGGTCAGAAGCCAGGAGGGGCCCCAGCTCTACATCACTCCTCCCCTGCCGGAGGAAGCCCCAAATCTCACCGTCAGAGATATTGTCCCAGTAAGGGGCCAGGAACTCAAAGCGGCCCAGCTGGATGATGTTGAAGAGCTCGTCCTGGTCCCTCTCTGGGCTGCGAAAGGGGGGAAAGCCACACAGCAGGATGTAGAGGATCACGCCTGCGGCCCACATGTCCACCTCCAGCCCGTAACCTGTGCAACAGAGGCAGGGACACAAGCAAGACTGAGACCCAGCTGGATCAAATGTGATGAGATACTCGGTGGAGAATCATAGTTCCAGGTCATAGAGGACCTCAGCTCTCAGTAAGCAAGAGCCACTTCCAAACACACAGGTGGGCTTTGCTACCAACTCCTACAAACGTGGTGGTGTGGTCCACACCAGTGTTACTCAGTTTGGTCCTTGGACCACTGCCACTTTGTGATCCCTTATTACTGGTCTGTGATAAAATAAGCACAGAAATTGAAAGCAAACGCTTGGCAACTCTTATAGCAATTTGACACAGCTGTGACATCTGATTGCATGATCAATGGACACATCTCATTGAACAGGTATAGATCAGTTCAGGTGTTGTCAAACACACGTGGTCAGTTGCATGTGGCATGAGCTGCCATCTAGTGACCTGCAGCAGGACTTCACAGGAGTCCACACTGTATTGGAAATTTTAAAACCTGGCCCTTCACCATGGATAGTTTAAGAGCCCTGGTCTACACCAGCAGCCTCTACTTCCTATTCATTCATTGCTTTCTCTCATTTTAAAAATATTATTTACTGGCTCTTTTGTATGACTATAAAAAGACTGATATTACTAGCTGTATTCCCCAAGATTGCGCAAACACACACATACACACACACATTTATTCTTTCTTTAGCAAAATTAGGATCACATTGTACATACTTTATACCCTATTTCATTCACTTAATATTGTATCACGGCATTTCTTGTAAGGGAATTTCCTGTGAAGAACATAAAAAATATTCTTCAAAAATTAGAAATCATATTTTTTGAAGAATATTTTTTTTTTATTAATTTTATTTATTTATTTTTCCCCCAAAGCCCCAGTAGATAGTTGTATGTAAAAGTTGCACATCCTTCTAGTTGCTGTATGTGGGACGCGGCCTCAGCATGGCCGGAGAAGCAGTGCATCGGTGCACGCCGGGGATCCGAACCTGGGCCACCAGCAGCAGAGCGCACGCACTTAACCGCTAAGCCACGGGGCCGGCCCTGAAGAATATTTTTTATTCCCTTTATATAATGAGGCCTCTGTTGTGATTTAAGTTTCTTCTCATTTTTTTACAACTGTAAGTAATTCTGTGATGAACATCCTTATATATTAAATATTTGTGTCCATCTCTGATTATATTCTTAAAATAACTTTCTAGAAATTAAATGCACAAAGTAATATACAGTAAAGAGTTTTGATACATATTGCCTAATCATCCTCCCAAAAGTTTATAACAGCAGGATATACACTTTTAAACATTTTCTAAATTTTTATCTTTGGAGAAGGAAAACACTTGGCAGCTTTAATTTGGAAGTTAGATATTCATTATTATGCCCCAGAGCAATGTTGTCAAGACACAAATCAGCAGAAAAATATTAAGGGAATAGGTCACCAATGACCTCTTTCTGACCAATTTAATGGCCTTTCCTCAGTTCTCAACCTCCCACTCTCAGGAGAGTCTGGTTCTGCTGGGCCTCCCCTCTTGTTGAAACCTGCCCCTCGGCCTCTGTGACACAGCACTTTTCTCGTCCTCCTCCTGCCGCAGGCTTCCCTGTCCTCTGCTTCTGCTTCCTTCTCTCATCCCCCAACTCTTGGCTTCCCTCAAGAATCTGTCCTTGGCTGCCCTGCTGGCATCACTAAGGAGCTCATTATCTCGCCTGCTTCGGCTGCCATCTCTGAGTTGAGGAGTGTCAAAACCACAAACTCAGCCCAAGGCTTCACCTCCTTGCCCACCAGACAACTCCGTGTGTCCATCCTGATACCTCTACAGAGTCAGTGTGTTCAATATTTAACTCCCCCCATGCCCATCTCCCAAAAGAGCTTTCCTTTCCAACACCTTATTTTAGTTGGTGCTACCACCAATGTGGTGGTTTCCCTAAGAGTTCATGTAGACTATCATGAGTTCTTCTCCTATCCAGTTCATCGATGCCTCCATTAAAATGCCTATGGTTGTTCATTATCTTCCTGTCTCACTGTCACCAGATTACCATGGCTATTATGCTGGCCACGCTGAGTCCAAATTCCTCTACTCAGCCCTCACAATTGCAAGGAATCCAGGCTCAACCTGCTCAACCAACTAAACTTCCCTCTGTATCACTGACGTTATTCTTCTCAACGTGTCTCCCACCCAACCCCATGCTTATTCTAGTCTCCTCATCTTAGCTTCCCTGATGCTTCTGCTGATGGGAAACTATCTCTCCATTCTCCCCACCACCAACCTAAACCCATCCAGAGCCTTCCCCTATTACACTGGGTTCCTAAACTGATTTCCCCTGGAGTGCCACAGTGGCAAAACAGTCATTTATATATTTGGAGCCATATAATAATAATAATGATTTCCTTTTTATATACTACAGAGTGTGCCACTAAAACAGTTCATTGGATTCCCATACAATATACAAACAGGCAATAAATATCATTCATGGAGTTTGAAATGGGACCCCATTTTCCTTAAAATGCAAGGTTGGTGGAGGAATTTTTAAGCCAATTACCGTAAGAACTGCTTTAATTCTTTCCCATGAGAGGCAGCCTTGGGTCAGTGGCACAAACGGCCTTGCTTGCTTGAGTTCCCCACCCAATTCTCCACCATCTTTCATCTCACTGTCCTTCCAACTCACACATACACACACATACACATACACACGCATGCACACACACACCCCAACCCCTTCTCTGTAATAAGGGCAGCGCTGAGGAGGAAAAAGTTCTCATGCTTTGGTCAGGGAGACTTGTTTCAAATATTTCCACTAAAATTCAAGTGCAAGCTTGGTGCTAACTTGCTGAGATTTTTGACTGCTCCATATTGAAAAATATAAAATATTAAACATTGAAAATAAAACACTTGTTAGTAAGTGAGCTAGAGTCCCACAGAGCGCTGTGTAACACTTACCTTTCTCAGAAAGAATTTCAGGAGCTACGTAAGTCGGAGTCCCACACACAGTAAATATAGGTCTCACCACATGCTTTGCAAGGCCAAAATCAGCCAGTTTCAAGGTGGTAGATTTGTCCTCATTTCGCTGAACCTGTAAGAAACCAAAATCCCCAAGCCACCAAAATTGTGGTGAGAACAAAGAAGGAAAACAAGTATGTCTCATAATGAGACAACAAGTATGCAAGGTCAGGATAAGCAAACAATAAACATCACTTAGCCCAACACTGACAAACCCAACTTGATCTCAGTGACAGGTGCTCATATTTTCAACTAGAGAATCAGTGAGTTAGGACTTACTATGCTGTCCAATATGGTAGCACCATATTGCCACAGTTGGCTATTTAAATTTAAATTTAATTAAAAAGTCAGTTTCTCAGATGCACTAGCCACATCTCAAGTGCTCAATAGCCTTTGGTAGCTAATGGCTACCATATTGGACAGTGCAAATATAGATCATTTCCAACATCACAGAAAGTTCTATTGGGCAGCATGAGTTAGAACAAAGATCAATGATGTTTTGAGCACAGACTAGCTTTAGTGAGGACTAGTACATGCCTGTGGGTTATGTAAAGTCTGGACAGGGGGAAAAAAGAAAGGAAAAAGAACTAGGAATTAAAATGAAGTAGGCAATTTCATGAAGTAGTGGAGGAATGTTAAATACAGACCCTAATTTGGGGGGTGGAGGAGTTAAGAACCAAAAGGACCAGAAGTCTTTAATTCCAATTCTAAGACTTGCAGTGGATGATCTTGGACAAATTTCTTTACTCATCTGAGCAGTTATTTTCTCATTTGTTAAAAGAAGAAGAAGAAGGGGTGATAATTTCCAGCAAATAGGGTTATGTCAGGAGTTCCATTCAATGTCTGTAATCTACCCAGCAAAGTGTTAGCCCTAAGTGACCAACAGTCCCAGATTGCCTGGGAATGAGGGGGTTCCCAGGACATGGGACTTTCATTTTTAAAACTAGGACAGTCTTGGGCAAACCAGGATGAGGTGGTCATCCTAGGTTGCACGCAATACAAAAAAATTAATGCCACTGAACTGAAATTTATTCCTTTGTATTGGAATTGACAAACTGGGTTCTAACTGTTAACATTTTTGCATAAAGGTGAAAGAAATTATCTCTGATTCTTCCTTTAGACTCCCACTTCCACCAGCTTTTAGAAAAGGGTAGAATTTGTCATTTTTTAAAAAAGACAGCTACCCTTACACTGAAATGAATATGGAGGATCGACTGCTCTCTTTTGTCCTCATCAAAACATATCCCACCTGAGCCTCATTCCTTCAAACAAGTCCAGGTAACTGGCTTTCTGATCTCTGGTAAACCAATTCCCACTGCCAAGTCAACCTGCCCTGCCCTCTTTCCCCCTCAAGGTGTCTGCATGCTACATGATGACTGTTAGGAAAAGTTGAGTCTTAACCTAAAAGAAATGAATCTCAAGAAGTGACCTTAGCAAGTATTTAGATCACCATGCAAGAAATAAAATTAAAGATATGTTATATTACACATAAAAAAAGGAACAAACAAAGAAACAATGAGGGGGCAAAGCTAGCATATCTTGCAGCAAGTAAAAGACGCATTGGTGCTATGCAGGTGGGTTTCCACTTTGGGGAAAGGTTAAATAATCAGGCACAAATCAAACCTCTGACCTCTTTCAATACTCGTTGGTACCCAAACGAGTAAGGTAGATGGGCAACCCAGTAGGAGGTTCGGCCTCCAAACATCAGAGAATGTGAAGACTCAGAGCAGCTGCCACCCCCATACGAGTCTCACCTTGACAGAAGTTTCAGGACAATAAGAAATAAAGGCACAACCAAAGGGTTCTCACGGCCCCTCAATCCCAGGATGTAGGAAGGTATGCACACCTGGGTGATACCCGCCTGCTTCCAACTCTGGCTGAAGCAGCTCTGGGCCTGAGCTGGCCCTGCTCTGAGCTATCCCAGGCAGCTGTACCTTGCAGCTGGTCTGTGTACACTCGGAAGATGCTGGGTCCACACCAGGAGGGTGTTCTGAGCCCTTTTAGCAGCCTTGCCACCCAACCATCACTCTGACCTCATTTGGTCACGAAAAGCAGCCAGCACAATCTCTAAACAGGGAGCTCTGAATGAAAGAGGGTGCCAAGTGTGGCATCGTTTCCTCCCTCAGTGTCGTCTGCCTCTTGGGAAACATGCAGCCCACTCAAGACCTGTTGTCACATCCTGCCTGGCCCCTTTCTTCCCAATATAAAGGACAAAGCTTGGGGTAGTCAAGGGTCTCAGGCCCAGAGGGGAATTTATCCATAAGAGGGCAGAGAGAATAGTGGAATCTAAAAATAAATAAATAAATAAAAAATTCAAACTCACAGAAACAAATAGTAGAATGGTGGCTGCCAGGGGATGGGGGTGGGGGACATGAGGAGATGTTGGTCAAAGGGTACAAACCTTCACTTATAAGATGAGTAATTTCTGGAGATCTAATGTACAGCATGGTGACTGTAGTTAATAATTCTGTATTATATACTTAAAATTTGCTAAGAGAGTAGATCTTAAGCATTCTCACCAAAAAAAAAAATGTAACTATATGAGGCAACGGATGTGTGAATTAACTTGATTGTGGGAATCCTTTCACAATGTATACATATAGCAATTCATCATGTTGTACACCTAAATATATTACAATTTTATTTGTCAATTATACCTCAATAAAGCTGGAGGAGGAAGGAAACTAATGCAGTTTTAATTAAAACATAAATTTTGTTAAATATAAGATTAAATAAATTTATATTTTAGTTTTTTTCAAGGTAAGTTCTCTATAAAACATTTATTTTCCATTTAAAAAACAAACAAAAAATAACCATTTACGGCCTCAGTTGATGTCTTTATCTTGAAACCCAGACAGCCAGCCAGTGCTCTGGCAACCTTGGTCACACAGCAGAAATGCCCCCAGAGACTCTGTACTGCCTGAGGGATTCATGGCAAAAGCCCTTTTTGTAACAACATGGTAAAATTCAGGGTGGAGAATGACCGGCTCTGCCCCCTCCTAGCAGAGGTTTGCCTCTGGTCCACTTGCCTCTGGTTCTCTTGGGGACCTCTGGAGAGGCCTCCTGGCATCCTGCAACAGAAATAACCCTTTTCTGGAAGATTCAGCATCATGTAACAGTTACAAGCACAGACTCTAAAAGCCAACTATCAGGTATCAAACCCCAGCTCACCATTTACTATGCACTGGTCAAGTAACTTGCCCTCTCTGTGCCTCCACTTCCTCATCTGTAAAACGGGGATGTGATGATCTGATGGGACCATGATGAGGATTAAATGAATTAATATTTGTCATGTGTTATAAACAGTGCCTGGCACCTAAGAAGCACAACACAAGTGTTTGTTAAGTAAACCGCATTATTTTAGCCACCATAACAGTTCACCTCTGAAAAGCAGGACTGACTTCAGGCAAAATGAGAAGTACAGGAAGTCAGCCTTGATATCTTTCTGCTCCCTTTTCGGATTTCCTCATCCAAACCGAAGGCCCCCTGATCAGGCACGGCCTAGTCCATCCCCTCCTGCCAAAGCTCCATCCCTGTCCCTAACACCTACCTGCCCCACCTCTCATCATAGAGGCTGAATGTTCAGGCCAAAGGTGAACTGGGCAGTTAATTACAGCACTATGACAAAACCGACTGGGATGAGCCTGGGTGATATCACCCAAGAAGAAACTCTTTGGGGCCACCAGGGCTATGGGAGAAATTATCAACCTGTCTGCAGGCACATGCCCTCACATCTCTACTGGAACAAGGGCAAAGTTTCCCAACGTCCCTACCAATGCTTGGGGGGCAGTAGGGTAGTAGGGAGGACTCTGGTTTTCCCTGTGCCCCAGCAGAGCCATGGACACAGCAACACTAGAAAATGGAGAGCAGGCAGCCACTCGCCAGTCTCCCCAGATAAGAATAAGTTCTCCAAACCCTCACACACTGCTGGTGGGAATCTATACTGGTACAGCCACTATGGAAAACAGTATGGAGATTTCTTGAAAAATTAAAAATAGAAATACTATATGATCCAGAAATTCTACTGCTGGGTATATATCCAAAGAACATGTATACACTAATTCAAAAAGATATATGCACCCCTATGTTCATTGCAGCATTATTCACAATAGCCAAGACTTAGAAGCAACCTAAGTGTCCATCAACGGATGAATGGATAAAGAAGATGTGATACACACACACACACACACACACACACACAATGGAATACTACTCAGCCATAGAAAAAGGTGAAATCGTGCCATTTGTGACAACATGGATGGACTTTGAGGGTGTTATGCTAAGTGAAATAAGTCAGATGCAGAAAGACAATAACCATATGACCTCACTCATATACGGAAGATAAACAAATCAACAAACACAGAGATACGGAAAACAGATTGTGGTTACCAGGAGGGAAGGGAACAGGGGGAAGGCAAAAGGGGTAAAGGGGCACATACGTATGGTGACAGATGGCAACTAGACTTTTGGTGGTGAACACTATGCAGTCTATACAGAAATATGATGATGTACACCTGAAATTTATATAATGTTATAAACCAATGTGACCTCAATAAAATAGTTTAAAAAAAAAAGAATAAATTTTCTGAACTTCCTTTGGATCCTGCCATTGAGCTTACATCTCTGTAAGCAGAATGTGTCTTAATTACTGAGCCTGAGTCACCACCAGGCAATCTGATCAATGTCTCCAGAATTAACCTAACCAAATGGAAGGTCATAGATGTAGAATGACAATGTGATTCCGCTTTGGTCTGCGTGTCGAGACAGACATAGCCAGGAAGGAGACCACGGAAGTAATTATCAGAATAACTTAGACTAGAAAATCTAGTTTGGAAGGGAAGGACAAAAAATAGTGTGGTGCCTAGAGTTTCCAGATGGATCATCTACATTAACCACATTGGCTGCATAATTGCTGAAAAAAAATATGTCCCTCACAAATATTTGTAAATATTCCCAACCAAATGATCAGCATTAAAAGCATTTGGCTGATTTAATACACCAAAATAAAATATGTATTCCTATGAGAACTAACAAACATTCTCTTCCTCACAGAAACCACCCCCAATTCCAAAC